AATGCTCGCGATCGTGCATGCATTCAAAGTGTGGCGTTGCTACTTGACCGGCGCAGACGTGACAGTACGGACAGACCATCGATCCCTACAGTACCTTCGCGCACAGCCCCACCTCAACCCGCGACAGATTCGGTGGCTCGACTTCCTCGAATCGAATTTCCACTATACGGTCACATATAAAAAAGGAGCCTCGAATATCGCCGACGCACTGACCCGCCCCACTGCCCAAATACATGCGATACTACTCGCCCAGACCAGCCCGTTACTGACAGGACTATTTACCCACGGATATCAAACAGACCCATTCTTCACAGGAGGAAATTCACAGCAATTCGCGGCAGCCAAGGGAGCCTATTACGTAAAAGCTGGATCCGACCGCATCTGGGTACCAGGGTACACGCTACTACGGGAACTACTCTTACAGGAGGCACACGACGGAGTTACCTCGGGACATTTCGGAGTAGAAAAAACACGGCAGCATCTGCAGCGGTACTACTACTGGCCGGAAATGTTGACCGACGTGCAACGACACGTGGCATCGTGTCCCACTTGCCAACTCATGAAGTCAACCAGGAAGCGGCCGGCAGGACAATTACAACCAATCCCACCTCCAGAGCGTGCTTGGCAGCAGGTGACGATGGACTTCGTCACGGGGTTACCGGCCGGGGCGAGTGGGAATGACGCGATCCTGGTCGTCGTCGATCGACTAACGAAAATGGCACATTTCGCAGCATGCAGGAAATCAATCACAGCCGAGGAAACAGCCCGACTCTTCATCGCCACCGTCGTTCGACTGCACGGGATACCAGCGTCAATCATCAGCGACAGGGACACGAAGTTTACCAGTAATTTCTGGCGGAACCTGTGGCAGCAGTTCGGCACGCGACTTCAATTCAGTTCATCGTATCACCCCGAAACCGACGGACAGACAGAACGGACAAACCAGACTATGGAGCAACTCATTCGAGCCACGTGTGACGATCCAAACACGTGGGAGCAGCAGCTGCCTCTCATCGAGTTCGCATACAACAATGCGCCATCTGCCACGACCCAACAGTCGCCATTTTACTTGAATTACGGACAGAACCCAACAGTACCCATGACACCAAACCCCGACAATCCCGTTCCCTGGCACAACAGTTCGCCGAGATTTTGCAATCAGCACGGACCAGGGCAGCAGAAGCAATTAAAAAATCAAATATCATCGCTAAACGCAACGCCGATCGCCACCGCAGACCCGTCACTTATCAGTCCGACGACCTCGTATTACTCGACACTCAGAACCTCCGCCTGCCCATCACTCCCAAACTCCGCCCTCGATACTGTGGGCCATTTCGAATCAGTCACATGATCACACCTGTCACCGCACACCTCCTCCTTCCTGCTGACTGGTACGTCAGCCCCTCGTTCCACGTCAGCCTGCTTCGCCCTTACGTACCATCCACCAGCCAACTCCCACGACATCGACCATCCAGCATGTCACGACCACCAACCGAACCAGTCATCACCCCCGACAAAATCTTGAGCCACAGAGTTCGCTACCCTCGAGGGGCCCGAAAAGTTGAGTTTCTGATTCGCTGGAAAGATCGTACACCCACCGAGGACAACTGGGTTCCCCTGGACAGAATTGAAAACCACCCTGTTGTCACCGACTACCTACGCAGCACAAACTTCAAAGACGTCCACGCGCTTTCGTAAGGAGGACCTTTTAAGAGGGGGGGGGGGGGGGGTAGTGTAAGGAAATTCCCTTTTCCTTACTTCGTATCTCTGCTCAACGCGTACATCACTGTAGCACCTCAGTCAGCACCGTTACCACTCGCGACCATCGCATCATTCATCATCCCGCCATTTTCGCACATCGCATCCCGACCTCACGGCTCGGCTGGTAACCCGCGCTCCGGGCCTACGCTTCGACACGTTCCCAACCTCAGTCCCAGGCTCGTCGCGCGACCATTACCGTTACCACTGTAGTTTCGCTATATATTCTTCGCTCATACCTTCGCTCATTGTACTCTTGCTTTGATAGTGCAATTCTCGTTCGTTCACTCAATTGCACTCGTAACAGGGGTGCATAAGGGGTGTCAAGTTCTAGGAAGTCAGGTCGAAGACAAATGGCACCTTCGAACAATCATCTGATTGGCCAGCATGTTCGACCAGTCGCATATCATTGGCCGCATCACTGATCCCCCGCATGATGTAAGCTCTCGGCCGAGCACCATGCAGCGGATCAGTGGTGCGCCAATTTGTCAGGGGAACCGGTGTCCTGGAATCATCGTATGGCGAAAAACGCAGGCGTTAAAAAGGCTGTTCGGTAGGCATTTCAAAGCTCTGAGGTTCGACATAAAACAGCCTATCTAGAACCTTGATAACCAACTGCTCGCTTATCGTTTCACTGTAGCGAGTCCCCGAGCCTGATATTAATGCCTTTTTTACGCCAGCCGAACTGGGCCCTAGAGGGAAGGCGACTCGTATCGTAGGGTCACACTCACACACTTCAGGAATCCGACACCGTTTGTTACAGTGGCGCCGCCAAATCGATGCGTGCGAACCAGCGTGTAATACAGCACTGTACAGCACGCTGGCTCGCACCGCCAAATCAACCTTTCTCGGAGTCAACGAGTCGACGTTACGGCTGCCCCTAAATTCATCCCACACCCTCCTTGAAGCAGGCCAAAACGTACACTGTGCTGTATTAACGTTGAACTCCTCATACCATTGACATTTTGAAATGCCCGGAATCGCCACATCCTGCACGCCTTCCTATCACCTACCGTGCGATGCGACATCTCCTCCTGCCGCCCACCACCTGGCACAGTCCCCTTGGCGCCCCCATCGCAACCGCTTCCCCGAAGAGCCCCCGAAGAGCTCACCTAGCACCTGACTGACAAAGCTCTATTTAGGAAGCTGGTAGCAGACATGTAGTTTTTTCGACAACTCACGGCTTGAGCTAGACTGTCTCCCCAAAACCGAACATTGGTACAGCATGGCACACTGCTTCACAACACACTTTGTGTTGCCCCATAACACAGCACCTGACCCCAAATTTTAATGAGGCGGAAGCCTCCATCCATGCCACCTGGCATCGTCTACACGGACTGTGCATTTCTGTTGGCACCCTCCCTCACACCAGCACCCCAATTTCCCCTGCCTCGTTGAAATGTGCAGTTGCCCAGATCCATTGATTCGTTTTGATTTTACTTTTCTGGGTCAAAATATTTTTGAAAGTAGAATCGATATTTTTTCTTGGTGAATAATATCACACTCTTCTTGACTTTGATAAATGTCTGAAGTCCAGCGTTGACTTCATTACTTTTGAAGTTGTGACCAGACTTTGGGTGCGAACAACCAGAAAAAAAACATCCAGGAACGAAAACACCCAACCGAATTGTGCGCAGGGCACAGCTTCTACACAGAGCACCTAGTGGCTCTCACAGCCACGGTGGCTCCTCCATCCATTCATATGCGTGGTGCCTGCAATCATTTGGCAAGGAGGAAAGCTGGTTCACTCCACTGGAGCTCCAGTGTTACTGTTCGTCAAGCATCTCATTGCTAGCTTCCGTGTTCCTCCGACGCCTCCACACCCATGGGTCGTTTCTCGAGGAACGTCTCGATGGCCCGGCGTCAGCTCCTCACCATGGCGCCGCTTCTTCTCGCGCTGCTTTTTGCAGTAACACACTACGCCGCCATTTCCGCCGCCGCCGCCGCACCTGCTCTGCCGCCTCCCTCCGTTCGCTCTTCATTTCGCCTCCCTACCTTCGGATCGTTACTAGAAAGTGCCGGAAAACTTCTTTCTGGTGCTGTGGGGTTGCGATGGAAATCACAGCGCACTGGAGTCCAGGCGACGTGCAGCGCGTCTAGCCGAAGTGGATTCACGTCCTCGGTGACGCTTGCACCCGGGTAGGATTACTGTTGTTTCCCCAAACTACACTAATTACTACACCAACATTATTCTTTTTTCATAGTTACTATACTTTATGTTGGTTCTGGCATTTAACAAAAATGGTAAGTTCTCTAAATTTGAAGAGTCAGACTATTTGTGCCTTTCTGATAAAACATCATGTTTGATGTTACAAAACAACAATTTGATTTTCGTATTTTGGTAGGTGATAGGAAAAAAAAAGCTCCAAACAAAAGTTGTAATGGATAAGTCTAATAACCAATTTGAGATGGCTTTTTAGATTCTGTTTTGGAAGTGTCTTAGTTCTCTGCAGAAATTCCTCAATGTGTTTTCTTGTTGGGAAGTCCACTACTGTTGGAAACAATCGGTCCTAAGCGCCTCTGTCGTGTCGAAACACTAAAGACACAAGTGAAGCAACGCATATCGAGGCACCAGCGAGTCAACCCTCGGAAGTTGAAGCAACAGCTGGAGGCTACGCGAAGGTCAAAGGTCAGCGACCTTTGACTTGACAAATGCAGCGCGACAGCAAGGACACACAACTGACTCGATATTGAGCAGTTGCCCGAGTCGCACTGTATCGAACCGCAACAGCCAACAGTAAAACAGTTATCACTCGTATCTCTTCGTATTCCTTGTAATCATATATAAAATCTTGTATCTCATTGTTTTAATCAACTTACTTTGCCCTCACATACTAGCGCAAGGTGGTTCAGAATCTCTTTGTTAACGCTTTCGCTACTACATCATTCTACCCATAGATTAACCCTACCAAAGATCCTAAGGGGCACTCAGCCCAACAACTACAACATGGAACATTATAATTGCCCTCCCTTTTTTTTCATTATTTTTCGCTTGAACTTGTTCTCATCCTTTCCCTCCCTCTCCCACTAGTCCTTCCATGTAAAATGTATCACTGCCATTTCATCAGAAAGTGGCAACTTCACTCGAAAATGCATACCATTTTCCTACTCACATATTAGGGGTACTCGTTTTGTCCATCTTTGCTTCCGCCCACCCCTCCCCCCTCCTCTCCTTTCCACCCACCCAGACATCCACCGTCTCGGGCGGGTGGTTCGGCGTGGGCTGGTCGGCAACCGGCACCATGTACCCCGCTGATGCCGTCATTGTCAACACCGAGCTCTACGGAGCCATTGGCCCTTTCAGAACGATCCAAGCCCACCTCCATCATCCCCTTTCCTTCCCTCTTGGTTTTTCTCCTCCCCTACAACCCGGCAGGTTCATTCTCCACTGGAAGGTCACAACAGGCACGACAGTGAACATGGCTCTAGAGGCCCAGACACCCGCGGTCTCCGGCGGGTGGTTCGCCGTCGGCTGGTCGGCAACCGGAGCAATGTACCCCGCTGACGCCGTCATTGTCAACACCGAAGACTACGGCGACATTGGCCCGTATAAAATGGAGCACGACTCACCGACGGCCATCATCCCCTTTGCAAACTTCCTGCTGGGTTCCGCCACCTACACCAGGCCTGCTTCCACGTACCCTGGCGGCGCTACCACGCTTGCCGGCAGCGGCGTTGCCACGTATGTATTGTCTATAATATCGCGCTTACCTGGTAAGCAGAGGGGGCGTTGCCACGCCTTTGTTCTAGTCTCCCCTGACCCCCTCGCGTATGGTATCGCACTTACCCTCACTCGCACCTAAATACCGGTACGAGTAAGAGTAGTACACCTAGAATGTCACAACCACACCTTCTCAGTCCCACACTCCCACACACACCCCACATTCCAGTCCCACACCCACAAGTTACCGCACAACGGGCACGGGCAGAAAACGCTGCTCAACTTCCCCTCTCCTCCCATATTTCCCTTTCCTCCTCCCCACCTCTCTCTTCCAACCCCTTTCCAGCTTCTCTCGCATGGTGGGCACGGGCGACAAGATCAACTTCGTCAACGGACCCATGAAGACCATCTGGGCCTACTCCGACGGCCAATCAGGCTCCTTCAACGCCGGCCATGCCGCCCAACGTGGCGTCGTCACAATCGACTAAAAATGCGACCCCAACGCCGCCAACCCCCCGCCGCCCGCCCCTTCCGTCAAACCTCCTCCTCCCGCCCCATCTACTGCCAAACCCCCGCCTCCCCCTGCGTCCACCAAACCCTCCTCCCCGCCACCTGTCGCCCGCGCCTCGCCGCCCCCCCCGCCGTCTTCCAAGCCCAAGCCGTCTCCTCCTCCTCCTGTGTCACCCCCTGCCGGAGGCATGGCGTGTGCCAAGTCATCACTTGCTGGGTTTTCGTATCAAGTGGCTTTGAATGGACCCCTGTGAGTGATGGTAGCGCTGGGGCACAGGGTGGTGCTGGTGGTGAGTGCTGTGGGGCACAGGGTGGTGCTGGTGGTGAGTGCTGTGGAGCACAGGGTGGTGCTGGTGGTGAGTGCTGTGGGGCATAGGGTGGTGCTAGTGGTGAGTGCTGTGGGGCACAGGGTGGTGCTGGTGGTGAGTGCTGTGGGGCACAGGGTGGTGCTGGTGGTGAGTGCTGTGGGGCACACGGTGATGCTGGTGGTGAGTGCTGTGGGGCACAGGGTGGTGCTGGTGGTGAGTGCTGTGGGGCATAGGGTGGTGCTGGTGGTGAGTGCTGTGGGGCACAGGGTGGTGCTGATGGTGAGTGCTGTGGGGCACACGGTGGTGCTGGTGGTGAGTGCTGTGGGGCACAGGGTGGTGCTGGTGGTGAGTGATGTGGGGCACAGGGTGGTGCTGGTGGTGAGTGCTGTGGGGCACAGGGTGGTGCTGGTGGTGAGTGCTGTGGGGCACAGGGTGGTGCTGGTGGTGAGTGCTGCGGGGCACAGGGTGGTGCTGGTGGTGAGTGCTGTGGGGCACAGGGTGGTGCTGGTGGTGAGTGCTGTGGGGCACAGGGTGGTGCTGGTGGTGAGTGCTGTGGGGCACAGGGTGGTGCTGGTGGTGAGTGCTGTCGGGCACAGGGTGGTGCTGGTGGTGAGTGCTGTGGGGCACAGGGTGGTGCTTTTCATTCGCCATTGAGGCTCACAACCCCCATAACACATCCATCACCCCTTCCTCCACCCCTTTCCCCCTTCCAGCGTCCTCCTCCATTGGACCTTTGCCACAAAGAGAGTCATCAAAGCAGCCATTGAGGGCAGCAGCAGCAGCACCTTTGGCTCAAACCTGCCCTTTCCCCGTGCTCTCACCCCATTACCCACCCCTTTCCCCCTTCCAGAGTCCTCCTCCATTGGACCTTTGCCACGAAGAGAGTCATCAGATTCGCCATTGAGGCTCGCAAGGGCGCTCTTGCCAAGGGAGGCTGGATGGCCGTTGGATGGTCACGAAACAAGGGCAAGATGAAGGGCTCAGATGCGGTTGTTGGGAATCTGCCTGGCGTGGTGGCAGTGCACTTGGGTGGATACCGCAAGAACCTTGTAAAGAAGACAAAAGCGTTTAATATTGGTTCTCCTCGGGTTGCTGCTACTGCAAAAGGCAGCACGGCAATCACGTAAGTGTCATGGAAGGAACAAGGTGGGTTACCTTATTTCCCCCTTGAGTTCCCTAATGAAAATATTTGTTTGTTGTTACACCGTTGCCACAGTAGTGTTCTGGTCTACTACAATATCTATGCTGTTTAAGACCAGCAGAGCACGTGATTCTGCTCCGCATTCCAGTTCTCCTTATGTGTCGCTCGTTTTTCCTTGTTCCCTTTGCCCCTCCCATCCCACTCCTTCAAATCTCCTCACACCCTCTCAGATTCGCCAGGAAGGTGGGCACGGGGAATGTACCAATCAAGCTCAATGCCACCAACTACCTCATCTGGGCTTTAAGCAGCAGCACCACCAAAACCTTTGCCTTCCATGGAAACAACTAGTAAGTGCCTTACCCATTATCCATTATGCCACCTTGTTGCCCCAATTTGATTCTCGGCTGTCTGCTCTGCCTAGCCTTCCCATCTGCCTCTCCTTTTCCCCAACAGACCACCTCCCAACAGCTCTCTTTCTCAACATTCCACCCTCTCTCCCACGGTCTTGATGTGACAATTTCCTTGCTTCAGGAAGATCTCATCTCTCTGAGGCATGAATCAAGTCTTGTGGGTCCAATGAATATCACTCCTCAATCCACCCCACTCTCTCTTGAACCTTGCACTCCCCTTTCTCCAAACAGGGTGGGCGGCCTTGCTGCAGACTGCTTGCGCTTTAAACTCGTGAGGAAACCTCTATTCTAACGTGTCTTAAAACAAATCTCCCCCCAACCTTCCACCACCACTGCCAGGGTTTAGGGTGGCCTTGCGGTGGACTTCTTGTGCTTCAGGAGGCCCCGGTACCTCTGGGGCGGTGGGCCTGACTATGAAAATGACAAAGCATGTCACCAAACCAATCCCCCCTCGTACCTTCCCCCCCCTCTCTCTCTCTCTCCCTACCAGGGGTGGCCTTGCGGTGGACTTCTCGTGCTTCAGGAGGCCCCAGTACCTCTGGGGAGGCAGGCCTGACTACAACGATGACTCGGACTATGATAACCCGCCTCCCTCCGGTGGTGGTGGTGATGATGACGATGATGACGACGATGACGACGACGACTATGATGATGATGATGATGATGATGATGATGATGATGATGATGATGATGATGATGATGATGATGATGATGATGATGATGATGATGATGATGATGATGACCACCATCACCATGATGACGACGACGACGATGATGATGATGATGACCATCACAAAGATCATGATGACGATGATGACGACGATGATGATGACGACCACCACCACCGTCACCATGATGATGATGATGACGACGATGACGACCATCACCACCACAAGTCAAAACATCGCAAGTCGTCAGCCAAAAAATCATCCAGCAGCAAACTGGCCTACCACTACAGCGTCCTTATCGCACACGGTTCCTCCAACCCATTAGCTGGTGCTGCTTCAAGCAGCAAGCGCGTCGTGAACCATTTGTTCAGGCAGAAGCGGTTGGGCCAACAACAACGTGTTGCTGGTGTTGCGGGAGGTCCTGTTGGTGCTATTGGCGGCGCTGGTGCTAGTGATGCTGCTGGTGCTAGTGATTCTGGTGCTGGCACGGTTGGTGTTGCTGCTACCGGAGCTGCTGCTGCTGCTACTGGTGCTGCTGCTGCTGCTACTGGTGCTGTTGGTGCTACTGGTGGTACTGTTGGTGCTATTGGGGGTGCTGGTGTTAGTGATATTTCTGCTGGTAGTGCTTTTGGTGCTGATACAGCTCGTGTTGCCGCTGCCGGTGCCACTACTGCTGCCGGTGCAACTGCTGCTGCCGGTGCGACTGCTGCTGCTGCTGATCCTGCTGGTGCTATTGGTGGTGCTGGTGCCGCTGCTGCTAGTGCTTCGAGTGCTGGTGCTGCTGGTGTTGGTGCTGCCGGTGCTGATGCAGCAGGGGGCAGTGCTGCTGCTGCCAACAGTGGTGCTTATGTCAGTGATGCTGCCAATGTCAATGCTTCTACCACATGTATTGCTGGCTTTGGTGCTGTCAGTGCTGGTGCTGCTGGTGGTGGTACTGCTGGTGTTGTTGATGGTGCTGGTGCAAGTGAAGGTGGGCCTTACAGTGCTGCTGCTGCTGATGGTGTTGGTACTGCTGGTACCAATGATGCTGCTTGGGTTGCTTCTGCTGGCGCTGGCCCTGCTGGTGCTGCTGCTGCAGGTGGTGGTGCTGCTGCTTCTGGTGGTATTGCAGGTACCATTGTTGGCGTTGGTGCCGGTGACGCTGCTCATGTTGGTGCTGTTAGTGGCACTGCTGGTGTTGGCACTGCTGGTGCTGACCCTGCTGGTGCTGCTGCCACTGCTGGTTTGCGTGGTGGTGCTGCTAGCGGTGCTGTGGCTGCCACAGATTCTGCTGGTGTTAGTGCTGGTGCTGTGGGTTCTGCTGGTGGTGGCGCCGCTGTTGCTGGTGATGCTGCTGACGCTACTACTAGTGACGCTGGTGCTGTGCTGCAGCAAAGAGTTTAGCAAATGCGGACTCCGAGGCAGCTGGTGGATCTGCCCTTTGGGATGATTCCTTGTTTTGAAGTGATAAGTCAATGCATATGCTCTCCAGATTCCTCCTCCACGTCTCTTCTCCTCCATCATTTTAGTCCTAGGACATGGCATTCAGAAATCAGTCATTTCATCCTCTGAGAAAAAAGAGCTTGTTTCCAGTTTTGTTTCTCTCGAGCGGTCCCTGTATTATATCCAAACGTTACAGCAATGCAGGTAGGTTAATGGCAAGCATACCAATAATCAAACATCAAAACGACTAACCTACCGTACTAACCTGCCCTCTGACCTTGCTCCTCTAAGGGATCTCCAGGGCTGGCTCCAGGATGCTAAGGCAGTCCCCAAGGGACGTGCCTTCTCCTAGGACCCCCACAAGTGGGTTTTCCACTTGAGCGGCAAGCTTGCACTTTGTCACGTAGCTCACGGACTGGGAGCGTTGCAGTGCCACCAACAATCGCTGCCGGAATTGGTGCAACAGCTTAGTCGCCTGGTAAGTCGATGGGTCCGCATTGAAGTGCTTACGGGCTGCGGTGTCAGCTAGAAGCTTGAGCAATTGTGGCACCTCAGCGCACGGGCAACCATATGTCTCAATGGCCAGAGGGAAGAACCTGACCCAAGAGGTTGTTGAGACACTGTAGACGCTAACCTTCTTCTCAGCTGCCTCCCAAGCTGCCCAGCCCCTTCCCTTGTCCGCTCCTGGTTCACGTGTGCTGATTGGGTCGGTGATGGTTACGTCACCAATCCAAACCGCTCCCGTGGACCAGTCCCGTATGGCAATGTCGGCCTTTTTCTTGTCAACGGGGCATAATACTGTTGGCTCCCTGTGTGCCATGAAGCCCGCATCGTATGCCATCCTCATACACTCATCACGTAGCTCATTGTGAGTGTCGTATGGAAGGGTTACCATATTTACCATGTGTTACCCTAGTTGCTTACCGAAGGGTGCTGTTTGGTGTCACATCATTATCACAACTGAATTCTGTGCTGAAGCAATACTCATAGGTGATTGTTGTGGTTGTGACCAGCAAAGCATGTGCTTTCACTGATTTGTTGATTGTTTCCCAACAATCCACATGATTTGTCACCCCTACCTGATTGTTGTGGTTGTGACCAGCAAAGCATGTGCCTTTCACTCCGCCTTCCAACTCTTTTCACTCCTAGCTCTCTCCTATCCCTTATCCCCCTCTTCACCCCACTTCTTGAAATCTCCCTCACACTGCACAGCTTTGCAAGGAAGGTGGGCATAGGGAATGTACCAATCAAACTCAACGCCGCCAACTACCCCATCTTTACCTTCAGCAGTGCCATTCGAGTCCACTCACAAACCACCACCACACTCTTCCCTCCGCGCTCCCCTCTCTTCCTCCTAGCTTTGCCAGGAAGGTGGGGATGGGGAATGTACCAATCAGGCTCAACGCCACCAACTACCTCATCTGGGCTTTAAGCAGTAGCACCACCAAGACCTTTGCCTTCCATGGCAACAACCAGTAAGTGCTCGTGTTGTTACCATGTTACCCACTATCCAGCAAGACACCTTGTTGCCGTCATTTTCATCCAGAGCTGTCTCTACCTAATCTACTAGTAAGATTTGATCTCACATGCACTGGAACAGCTCCTGCTCCCACACTTCCACTTCCACTTCCTCCAATCACGGGCGGTATTGCGGTTGCCTTCTTGCGTTACAGGAGGTCCCGGTGCCTCTGGCGTGGCAGCCCCGACTACGAGGATGGGAATGCATGTTACCAAGCCAAGCCCCCACTTCTCCTGTACCCCTCCCACTCTCTCCCTCCCAATCCGGGGCGGCCTTACGGTGGACTTCTCATGCTTCAAGAAGCCACGGTACCTCTGGGGAGGCGGGCCTGACTACAACGACGGTGATGATGTCAACAACAACGATGATGATTACCATCATGATAACCATCATGATAACCATGATGATCACCATGACCATGAAGAAGATGACCATCACCACCACAGGTCGAAACATGGCGAGTCATCGACCAGGAAGGCATCCAACAGCAAATC